TCTGTAAAATGTACATTGAGACCAAAAGTTATGCATCAAGTGTAATACGAGTATTTATCATAAAATATCAAGTAATAACCAAAAGAAATGATAGTACACCACAGGATAATATGTATTTTTCTACAAAAGAATGATTGATTATTAAATTAGTAGAAGTGTAGGAAATTTTAATATAAAATTTGTTGCAACAAGTGTATTAATGTGCAAATTATATAAACATGCAGCTTTTTCAATTCTTCCCAATGGTAAAAAAGAATAATATTGTTCGCGCAACATTTCACCGATCGATACACAACTTTTGCAATTAATTTCCGGAGTACAAAATCCACACATATATGAGAGCAGCTCGCATATTATGTAAGCTTTCAATAATAATAAATGATCGGGAAATTGGAAAAAATATCGGGACAAAATAAATTCTAAAGAATAAAAACTAAAAATAGTTTCTATGAAAAAAAAAAAACACAATTATAAGAGAAATAAATAATTTTCATCTTTGCGTATATCTATGATGCAAGAAATGTTTCCATTATTTATATTTTAACAAGCAAGTTTTATGGGAGACCATCTTTAAACGGTCAACGCATTCCAAGGTAAACAGTTGCCGAGTAAGGAAAAATTCGAAATTGACTTATGGTAACTATACATGTACGTTTTACTATATTTTTTTATGCAAAGAAAAATATTTGATGAATTCATGCAAATTAAATAGATTGTAAATTTAGAAGTAAAATCCAAAAAAGAATTACAAAATAAGAATGAAACCAGACAAGCGTCCAAGTATAAAATGTAACATAATCTATAAATCTTAAAGTAAAGTATCAAAAACTTTACGTTATGCGCATCATATCAATACAGCTCAATGCTGTCATTAATTGCGTCAAACAAGGTCTTTGCTACGAACACGTTAATTCTCATTGATTCATCACCACTTACAATTATACTCTATTTACGTCAATGCTAATTCACATCTGTGGGTTTCTCATTTTCTCAGAAATATACATAGCGCATATATCCACATTCCACATTAAAGGGGGCCTTGAACCCTACGTGCAGAACTTGTGTCAATGACGGATTACGGGATATCTACATTATTATAGTAGTAAATGAAGGGGAGAATGAGAAAAGACGTACTAGTGGTGAGGAGAAACCGAGGGGAGAAGAACGGTTCGCGCGATGCAATTTACAAGTATCCCTTTAATTGCGATGCATCGCTACGACGAGTTGGAACAATGCTGTTATCCACAAAGAAATCTATAGTATCATTGACAAATGTCATTATACATTTTTATAACGCGACGTTACGCGTGTGAAGCTATTTCATCCGTTCGTCTAGCGAAAAATTTATACTGCATTTTACATCTACGATAAGCAGTAACGCAATAAAACATTATATTTTAAAAAATGCTAGCGAATTATCTACGTAAAACCAAGTACATATTAAAATCTTTTTGAAACAAGGCATGTACAATAAGAAATATATATTTGACATTTTTATAAAGATTATCCCCCTCCTTTTAATCATAATAATTGAATTTTAGAAAATTGATTATTCTAGAGCAAAATTATTATACACATATTTCTGCCACGTTCTACAACGCTTATAAATACTTAATATTTCATGGTAGTAATTATATCTATGCAATAATCGGTACAGTATTATTTTGCTAGCTATTTTCTAGAAGAATCCATTTTATTTCTTAAGATTTTTTTCGTCAAACTATACAAGGGTGTATTATGCTAAATAATGAAACATTCAGATCTAGTGGTACTTGGAAAAAAATTTACAAAATACATTATTTTCTGTAACAATACATATAATTAAATAAAAAATCGGAAACTAGAAACCGATAATCTAATCCAATTACAAATTGTTCACATATAAATATATAAATATTTGAAGCATATTTTTCAGATAAGAGATAGCAACTTTGCAATATTTAATAATCGAATAGTAGTCCAAGCCAATGCTTTTTTCTTTTAGTAATTATGCAAGCTATTGCACATATTGTGCATAAGACTCTGCATCATTTCCACGCCACTGTGTGTATTAGCAGGGAGAGCAAAGCTGGTGTTGGCGGGAGAAGAAACGACCTTGCTACTTTCAACGGCAAGGCTGCACTTATGCCATACTTGAGCTGTATGCATGCCATCATAACAACTCAAGTTCACTGTACCGAGTCGCATCGTCTGAAATCTGAGATGTTACCCTTTTCTTCATCAGGGTGTAACATATTATACTTGTACCTTGAAGAGCCTTTATTTTTGTCTAAATTATACGCCTACATGAATGGAGGATTTACATCAAAAATTTTCCAAAAAAAGTTTTTTTTTTAAATAAAATGTATTCAACAATTTTAGAGCCAATTTTTCGTTGCAGATCTTTTATATGGTTATTATTAATGTATATGTGTATATCTTCCAAGTACTTGCATTTTAAACAAAAGAAAAGACAAGCATATAAACACACATATTTCATTCTTATCCTTCGCTAGCCATAGAAAAATGATGATGATGAATAGAGTGATTCAGATCCTCGACCACGCAAAAGACATAAAAAAACTCAAGAATCGGGAAATACAAACTTCTCTATTACCGGTTAATTTTCTGTTATTATACCGTTATCAGCGATATTTGACGACAAGGTTATATTCCAATATTTCAATAAATTCCAATTTCTTTGAAACGTGTTCCATGCGATAAACAAGTGTCACCGTATCGAGGACTCCCATGATCACTTTTAAATTCGAGGCCATTAGCTTCATTTCGCGTGTACAGTTATCCGAACCAAACATTGCTTTAAAAAAATATCCCTGACGTAATCGCACAGATATCCACATTTTGTAATTTGAAGATGTAGCTCTTTAAAAACCTTAATATATTTTAAACTTCATTAAATGCTAAATTTACAATCAACTAATTTAATAATGTTTCATTTATAAACATATAATATATTGCGCAATTTAGAGATGCTAGTTAAATCTACTCTAATTAGAGTAATAATCTGTATAAATACATGAGCATATGTTTGTTCTGTAAAGGTATCGGATAAACCTACCACAAAATTTCATCATGTCTTATGATACTATAATATTTCACACAGTCATATTATATATGATTTATAAAAATCTATCGTTATCGCGTTCAATTTAAATTGAGCTAATATTTTGACAATATATCAGTGATTATTACGCGAGGATCAGCGAAATTAGAAGGCCAATTATCTCCAGGTTACTTTACATAATCAAATATAATCGAGTGTTTTACTATGATGTTGTTGCGATATAATGCATGCACACAAAGATTAAATAAATATTTTTAAGTGTACATAAATGCTTGTGAAATCGTAAAAGTTTCGATATGTAATGCTGTTTTCCCCCAACTATTTATTCGCGTTCGAAGAAGAGAGAAAAGAAGCCGGTTAATTCAGCAATGTCGATTTTTGCTAGTCGAGATATCTATCGAGGAAGGGCAAGTTAATTGCACGACAAACCGCGAGATACGGTGAGCATGTTATCCTTGGAATGCGTTCGAGGCTGCTGTGGGTTCGTTTACTTTATTCCCCGAAGTAACAGCAGCAGGTGGTAGACCTGTCTGAATCGGTTTATAAATAAGTCATGTTACCCCCTTAACAGCCCGTCATTACTTGAGCGCATCTTCGAATCGTCTGGTATTAATATCCACAGTTTAGAGTATCCGTTTACACTTGATAGTAAACACCGGACGACCCTTCATTACGCCTCGTGTAACAAAATGTTTGGCGATATTTCATAGCGCTACGTGAGATTTTGTGTAACATAAATCTCTCGCACAAATAAAGAAGGTAAATTGTAAAGGGTTAACGCGAATGTAATGATAATAGCAATAAGCTAAGATATTATGTTAAAAAGTGTGCCATTATATTAATGTTGCAAAAAATACGGCCCTTCATTGAAAAAAAACATCAGCGATCTTTACATATAGAGAAAGAGAGAGAGAGAGAGAGAGAAAGAGAGACTGACAGATAAAAAAACAGTATATAAAAACTATTTTATTTTGAAATAAACCAGTATTTGTTTAAGTTCTTTAAAATATATGTATATATTTTTTTAATCTTTACTAGAAAAAAAGAGTAAATGTTGCATAAAACTAAGTTTATTAATATTATTAACATTTGTTTTCCCCTTATTATCAGTTTTGCATTTACTAATATCGATGTTTACCATGCAAAAAATGTATACACTTTTACATAATTGCATAAATACACCTATCGAAAGCAACAACCATGTGAAACAGTCCCGCGCGATTAGTATTCAGAACACGGTTAAAGAAGCCTAACAAAATCGCGCCACAAAATGTTTTATTCAACGCAGGAAATAGCTTTAACTAAAACGTATTGTTTTACAATGTGGGTTATTCGTAAGAATTCGATATGATTACATACAGTATCGGTTATGCCGTATATCGAAAGCTTACGAAGATTCAAATGTCTGATTCAAATGATATCAAAACACAATTTGCAATAATCTATCTAAATATTGTTACAGCTAAAGGAATTTTGTACTTGCATATTATGTAGAAATTTATTAGTCCTATCTGAAAACAATTTAAAGTTAATTGTTAATAAACTTAATAAAAATATCATATTAATATCAAATATATAAATCTATTCTAAATTATTTATATGTAAAGAATGTTGTTACACATGTTGTCGACTATATATATACAACTTTCAATAAGTAACAAAGATAGAACGACGCTGTTAGCGCTAATAGCGTCTCCCCGAACGCACCCATAGTGTATAATAAAATTTGTTAACTTTATTTTATTAACGTAATAAAACTCTATATTCTACGTCTTTTATTTTAATACAGTACCGAAAGTGTAATATTGAAAATAATTTCTATACACTGTTCAACAATTTACTCATTTCAGGAAATAATTATTAATCATGTTATTATCAGAATAGTGATCGTTATAATTATCATGTTTACATTTACAGATAAAATTGGAAGCGAAAGATGTGGAAAGCTTCAGTGATACTGAGCGTTTTAGCGACGCTGATCGTAACAAGACTGACAAAAGCTGGTGAGAACTACTTAATTCAGTATCGCAAATCAAGATTACTGTGTGTGTGTAAAAGAGAGATAAAAGTTTATATTCTATATACATATATATTGAGAAAAAAAGCAATGTATTTAGTCAAGTTAACAACTTTCTCTATCTCTCTCTCTCTCTCTCTCTCTATATATATATAATGTAATCTTAAGAAAATAAATGGAGAAAAAATACTCTTGCTTCGTTTTTCCGTAAAATTTAAACAGTTACAGTCCATAAAAAAACTGAAAATTGATTACGTCTGTCAAATCAACAATTTTATCTCTCTTTATGTTTTTTAATCTTTATATTTATCTAACTTGCTGGAATAATGCAGAGTAAATTTTAATTAGTTTTCGATGCAAATGATTAGAAGAATCTTATCGCAATCATTTAGCAGGAAAATAAATTATCTATTTTCACGTTTTAATATATGTATTACAGTTCTGCAGATTTATATTGTGTATGAAATGCATGTCTTACAATTAGACGAACATTCTTAAAATTTCTGCTCTATCTTGCTTTACTTTATTCTTATTGTTATCATTGTTATTGCTTATTGTCAAATTAATTTTACTTGAAATGTATAATGAGAATATAAAGAAAAATAATAAAAATATCATGCATTTCATGTTTACTTTAGGAACAATATTATTAAATCGATTATATATAT